ACATCACATGGTTGATGCTGAGATACTGCTACAGTGAAGCTTGGCAATGTAAAATAGACATATTAGTAACTTGCAGGATTGTAATAATTATCCTAGAAAGGTTGTTACATACTTTTCACTGAATTTCTGTTAATATAACTTGAAAATCCAATATGTTGAGTCACTGAAGTATCTGGTTAAGGCACGTAGTGATGACATGTAATAACCCTGCAATTCGTGTTTGCAGCCCCAGATTTGACTACACTGACTTTTAAAAAGACTTACAGTATTTTTCCTCTACGTTGCTTTTGGAGTTAAGAGTAAGTAGAGGAAGAAGAAAATTTCTTTGGTCGTCATCTTTTCATAGGCTTTGGTTTCTCACCTGTTATAAACAAAGGACTAAGAGTCTTAGGCTTGTTTTAAATTTTATTCACAAAATGATCAGGCTTGAATAATTATTGGCATTCTTAAAATAGTAATATGAATAACAAGGTGCCCAACAGCTTGTAATAGGCATATAAGTTCTTAGTAAAGAATTAGACATTTAGGTGCCTTGAAAAATACTCTTATGACACCAACAGTATTAAAATTGCCAGCTACAGGGAGAGTTGATGGTTAAAATGAATTCTAAACTGTATTTTCCTAAGTAAGTACAAACAGTGAGCCGCAGTCAAGTCCATAGTAAAACTGCTATTATATATAAAACAATTGCAGCAGTCAGTGCATAAAGCAGTATAAAAACACAGTGGTAATAGCTTGCAACAGGAACAGGTATTTCCATCTTAACAGAAGAGATTAAAAATATTGTGAAAAATGAACATTTGATGATGTTTCACCTATAATCAGAACAAAAACTATGACATTATACATTTACTGCTAATTTGTTAGTTAGTAATATACAATAAAGGCAAAATGCGCACAGAGTCATGTACCCAGGAGGGGCTTTGGCACAGCAAGCAAAGCCGATGCTGTCTTGCTCTTTTAGTCTTTCAGCCAGTGTTGCACTGTTTCCATCAGGACTTTGGACTGATGAACCTAGAATAGAAGAATTCATATGCAGACATTACATATCTTTGATATTTGTTGATGGATATAGATGTACATTTGATTTAAGTGGGTCAGGACTTAAGTCAGTTTTATGGAATACTTTAATAAAATAAGGGAAAATTCATTTCTGCTTTCCCTTAGTTTTTGTTTGAAGTATAGTACTCGTTCAGGTGCTTTTCCCTGTGACCATGTGGTGGGAGAGCTGCCAAATCCCCCCTTTCACTCACACTCCCAGTGCCAAGTGCTACCGAAGCCCCATGTCCGTAGGCTGGGGCAAGTGGCTCCACAGGCCAGATCTAGCCCATGTTCTAAGGTGTACAGTTTCTTTCTGAAACTGATGACAGCTTTTTCATGGCCATTGTTGCATCTAGTATTGCAAGGAGCAGTGAAATCAACAGGTTTTTGGTCCATTTCATTGTGACTGTGTAGACCAGTGATTCTCAACTGGGTGACATGACACTGTTAGGTGTGCTAGCATGCAGCATCTACAAACATTCACTCTCCCAGGGTAAACTCTTTTGGGACTGATTTAACCCTGTTTTTTCCAGGTTATTTTTTTTTCCTGGAGTGGCCATTTTTACTCTGGGAGATAACCTGAACATCTGTATACTCGTAGATTCTTCTAGGAGAGAAGCCACTCTCCTAGGAGAAACGGAATGTCTGTATGACGGCAAGATTCATATGATAATTAGGGATTTCAAGTAAAAACCCACAGTGTTAAAAATGTTGTGGCTGGTTTTGGTTTTTCTGAGTTCTGTGCAACAGAAAGGTTCTCTATTATTTTTGGTAGCTAAAAAGAACAAGTGGAAGCTAAGAACCAGCATTTTCCAAGGAGTGCCTTAAGACTATCAGGGTGCCTTGAATATATAAAAGGTTGAGAACCACTGGTATAGAGCAAATGGTGCTATTTTCATGCAGCCACTTAGGAAAGCAGTATTCAAGGTATTAATTAAGGAAGAAGACTTGAATAATAAAAGCTGAGGAAACGATAGAGTAGCCGTTTTCATTCTCTTCTGTGTCACCCTCAGAAGTCTGTTAGACCAATATGAAGATTTTTTCAATAGAAGTAGCAGGAGGACTATGGAGAGACGATAGAGAAAAGTATTTTTCTCTCTTTTAGAAGCTAGAAGACAGTAAAACTTCGAAGTTATCAAATGCTTGCTAGCTAGAGTCTGAAATTGAAGATTGAGTGGGGGAGGGTTCCCGGCATTTCCTGGATATTAATGTTCTAGTGCATGTGTGTATGGCTGCACTTCTCAAAACTGTACTGCCCCAGGATTTTGTTTACATTCTTTTTTTTCTTTTTTTTTTTTTGTATCTGCTTCTGGGAAGTAAGTTTAGATTTCAGGCTAGTAAGATCAAGAAAAAGTTAACTTGATTCTGCCTTTATGTATGTCTCTAAGTTTGCTTTTCCTTCATCATTGTTTGTTGAATTTGTAAATTAGGCAATACAAATTGTGCAGTTCTTACATTTCACCATTTTTGCTTATACTGTATTTTGTTATTCTTGTTGTTGGGCTTTTATTATAAAAGAAAATGTGCTGATGAATTTACTCAAGCTTGTAGGTTGTAGCCGTGTTGGTCTCAGGACATAGGCGGACAAGTTTCTTTGGGTAAATCCAATATCTTTTATTAGAACAATTCAAATGGCTGGAAACTTTCTTCTTTGCAAGCTTTTGGGTACAAATACCCTTTGTCAGGCTGAGGAAGCATCTGCAGATGAATTTGCCCTTTAAAAAAAAAACAAACCAACTAATATAAGCCCAATGTTGACAAGGAAGAAGCCATATAAAGTTTTCCAGTGGTACAGTGAGCCCTCCTCTGGGGAGAGGAAGGATTCTTTTCCTGGAGCTCCCCCATCTCGCAAAAAAGGCGGAGATGGAACTGGGACTAGCTACCCGGATTGAGGACAACAGGAAGTCCTTTTTTAAATACATAGGGGGTAAAGAGAAGGTACCGGGTAATGTGGGGCTGCTGCAAGACACTCTAGGAAATCTGGTCGTCGTACCAGACGACAAAGCTAACCTATTTAACAGTTTCTTTGCCTCCATTTTCCTGAGCAGGGATTGGGTCACCCCCCCACCGGGACCCCCATAGATCCCAGGGGAGGCGCACCCAGGCCTAGGGTCAGTGAGGATCTGGTCCGGGAACTTCTGGAGGGACTGGATGTATTTAAATCAGCTGGTCCTGACAATCTCCACCCCAGAGTGCTGAGGGAATTAGCAGAGGTCATTGCGGGACCCCTGGCACGGCTTTACAAGCACTCATGGTGCTCTGGTGTGGTGCCAGAGGACTGGAAAAGGGCGGAATTTAGGAAGGCCTTTGACGCTGTCTCTCACCCCATTCTCATTAAAAACTAGGGGACTGTGGCATCGACACCTACACAGCCAAGTGGGTCACTAATTGGCTGGAGGGCTGCAGCCAGAGAGTGGTGGTGGACGGGTCTTATTCGACCTGGAGGGATGTGGGCAGTGGGGTCCCCCAGCGCTTGGTCCTCGGGCCTGCACTGTTCAACATCTTCATCAGTGACTTGGACGAGGGGGTAAAAAGCACCCTTTTCAAATTCGTAGATGACTCTAAGATGTGGGGGAAGTGGGCAGGCTCAAAGGGAGGAATAGGCTGCAATCAGACCTAGACAGGTTACAGGGGTGGGCGGATGAGAACAGGATGGGTTTCAGCACTGACAAGTGTAGGGTAATGCACCTGGGGGGGAAGAACCAGCAGCGGACCTACAGGCTGGGGAACTCCCTTCTTGTCAGTGCAGAGGCAGAAAAGGATCTTGGAGTCATTTTTGATGCCAAAATGAACATGGGCCGACAGTGTGGGGATGCAGTCAGGAAGACTAACCGTACCTTGTCGTGCATCCACAGATGCATCTCAGGCAGGTCCAAGGAGGTGATCCTCTCCCTCTATGCGACACTGGTCAGGCCACAGTTGGAGTACTGCGTCCAGTTCTGGGCGCCACACTTCAGGAGGGATGTGGACAACATGGAGAGGCTCCAGAGGAGGACCACTCGCATGATCAGGGGCAGCAGGGCAGGCCCTACGAGGAGAGGCTAAGGGACCTGAACCTGTTCAACCTGCTCAAGAGAAGGCTGAGGGGGGATCTAGTGGCCTGTTACAAACTAGTCAGAGGGGACCAGAAGGCATTGGGGGAGTCCCTGTTCCCCCGAGGACTACCAGGAGTAACTAGAAATAATGGTCACAAGCTGGCAGAGGGTAGATTCAGACTAGACATCAGGAGGTGCTACTTCACCGTCAGGGCAGCTAGGATCTGGAACCAACTTCCAAGAGAAGTGGTGCTCGCTCCTACCCTGGGGGTCTTTAAGAGGAGGCTGGATGAACACCTTGCAGGGGTTGTTTGACCCCAGTACTTTTTCCTGCCATGGCAGGGGTTGGACTTGATGATCTGCTCAGGTCCCTTCCGACCCTACCAACTATGAAACTATGAAAATCACTGCTTGATCATGAAATGGTCAGTAACTTTTCTCTGACTTTAATTTTTTACAATGTCTTGTCAAATTCAGATTCAGGAGGGCATTATTCAATCAGTTAACATTTTGTTCATGTTGGGAAGGGTATTTTTCCTTAACTTAAGACTAGAATTTCTTAAATAAAAGTTCGGATTCTATGGAAATTGAGCATATCACTGCCCTCCCCTCATGGTGCCTTGCAGAAGTTTTCAATTCTTGCCACTGGAAAGCAGATTAGAGGATTTATCAAGGCATGCTTATATAACAGGGGCGGGCAATTATTTTGGGCAGAGGGCTGCTTACTGAGTTTTGACAAGCCATCAAGGGCCGTATGACAGGCAGCCCAGGGCAGATAAATATGAATTTTCTAAATTTTTTAGGGGCCCCGCGGGCTGGATAGAATAGCCTGGTGGGCCACATCCGGCCCCTGGGCCGCATTTTGCCCACCCTTGTTATATAGACATGCTTATACAGGCACACTCTTTAGTAAGATGTAAGCAGTGTGAATAACTTTTAGGCCAGAAGGCTAATAGACAAAACTGGGTTTCGATGTGTAAACAATATGTAACTAACTGAATGAAATGGGAAACTTGATATAGGTTGCACGATGAGGTGTTTTAAAAAAAATAAAACCAACACATCTTTTAAGTCCGTAACCATATTCCAGTAGCTTTAGGTCAGGGATGGGCAAAGTCTGGCCCATTTCCCAGCAGCCCCTGCCCACGTTCCGGCTGATCTCCAGGGAGACCCCAGGAACTGTGGGGCCGTGATAGCGTAGGGCCAGGATCTCCATGGAGGGACCGGTCTGAGTGGCACTAGCAGAGTGTGTGGCTGGGT